ATGCTTCGCATGCTCAACTATAACTTTTTTAAAGCATTATATTGTTTATTTGGAAGAGTACACATTTTTATTTTTTTAGTAAAATAATTGACAAGTGTTTACAAAAAAAATAATTAACACTTCTTCCTTAGGAGACCCAAACCAAATCAAACCAAACAACAACGTTCACCTTGGACTCTGTCAAAAAATAAAATTGTTTTTGTTTTTTCAAAAAAAAAAAAAAAAAATCATTAATTTATTCATCCTTGTTTTTTTTTTGGTAGGACAGACACGAATTGGTTAACTTTTTTTTTTTTAAACTAATAAATTTTTAAATTTAACATGTTGAGAATCGGCAATAAAAGAAGAAAAGCTGATACAGAAGACCCAAATAAGAGAGAAAGGTAAGCGTTTTAAGGATGGCTATTGCCCGCCACCCATCTTTTATATACCTTCAAGATTAATTGATTAATCTTTAACACATTAATGAATAGTTGATTTGACTAATTTGATTTGCAATAATAATGATTTATAGGCACGGAGAACTTATTTTATCTGATATCACAAATGTTCAGAATTCAAATAATGTTGATTTATTGGTTATCGTGAATAACTATTGCAATAAACCAACAACATCACAATTTGAGTAAGTTTGGTAAAAACAAGGATTGTGGGAATTGCTTATTAATAGTATAGCTATTGATATTGTTTAGTAAAATTTCTTTTCATCTGTTATTCAGTCCAGCCAGAAGCTACATTTTAGATCTGACGCCTGAATCAAAAATTCGTAAAGAATTTAGTAGCAATGATTGGTCAATTGTAATTGAGGACAACAAGATAACCATGACAGATTATTCCTCTGAAATATCTGCTATAACTGACAAGTTGTTTGGTTTAGATGGAGCTAAAGTAGGAAAAACATTAATTTAAAATATTCCGGTTTATTAATAACTGATTCTGATTTTATAAAATTCAAGGGGCTGAAAAATATATCTGTAGTCCGAAAAATGTTAGAAGATGTGAAAAATGTTCCAGAACCTATACATAGTTCCTCCTATGAAATAAAAAATTGGGATAAGATAATTAGATGGATTAGATGTATAATAGAACCATTGTAAGTTGGTCCCTATTCACTGTTATATGTAATGTACAAATTTGTGCATCAACCTTATTGACTTTATCATTATATAGTTTGGATGCATTTGAATCACGCAAAAGCCCACTATCTGCTGATTGTCATGAAAGAGAGTGGTTCGGTGATTATATATCACCACTAATCACTGGAGTATTAAAACTTGATGGAATTTGCCATGTCCCTTGGTATGTTCTTTGGAGATAGTCTTTTTTTTTTTTTTCCAAACTTTCTGATTAGAATTATTGGCTTGATTCAATTCAGGGGTGAAATAAGCATGTTGGCATCACAAAATCGTTGGAATTCCGAAAAAGATGTTCTGACAATGATGGTGAGCCGTGGGCATATGGTAGATATGTTATGCTCATTAGGGTTTGTATTCATGAATATCATAAGGGGGTCATACAGGGTCACACACTATTAAAATCAAGTGATCAACTCATGTTTTTAAGGGATTTTTTGCTGTTTTAATAGTGTGTAACCCCCTTAATGATATTCATGATATTCATGAATAAAAACCCTAATGCTCATATGAAGACCATGAAATATTATGTTTATTAAACAGTGGTGGGCCGTATGAATCAGATCTCACTAAACATGCATCTGATGAGTTTCATCTCAAAAGAATGATGAAAGACATGTTAGATGCTTTAATCATCAAATTTCATGAAGCCACGATGGATGATTCTGACCTTTATGTTTTAGGGGTTCAGGTACAATTTTTACAAGAATTAATTTATATAAAATACTAAATAATGAGTCCTATTCTTTTTGTTTTAGCTTTACTTAAATAGGGTATCAATTTATACTATGAACAAACGAAAATTGTACAATTTTTGTCTTTGTCAAAGATTTTCTATGCCTTTGACATTCACGTCATATAATGGTTTAAAAACGGCAATCAAGTGTGCATGGAACTTAAGAGTAAGTTTGTACCCTATCAAATAATTATACTAGTATGTTCCATTCACTTATTTGATTTAATTATTTAGGGATTGATAAATAACTTGACGGATAAGCTTGACGACCTTATTAATCTTGATATTGGAACTCCCCCTTAGGGTTTGTATTCATGAATATCATAAGGTGTTCATACAGGGTCACACACTATTAAAATCAAGTGATCAACTCATGTTTTTAAGGGATTTTTTGCTGTTTTAATAGTGTGTAACCCCTTAATGATATTCATGATATTCATGAATAAAAACCCTACTCCCCCCACAAGGAATTCTCAAAACATTATGAAAACACCATCTTCACCACCAAGAAAAAAGAAAATCAAAACATTTAAAGATTAAAAATAATAACAATAAGTTACAAGTATTTCCTGGTACATCTGTTATATAGTAAATATGATGGTTAATTTTTTTCATCATGTTAATATTTTATCTTGCAAATCTAATTAAATAAATTGCTAAATTCATGAATAAATATCTCATTGCCAAATCTAAAATAATCAAAATTACATTCAAAAACATTGGGTTCTTTGAATATTAATTAATGTTAACAGAATTAGGATTTAACGCTAATTTGTTAGTCGAAATACCTAATTCTGAACCAAATCTTTTATTTCTATTTTTACTTTATTTCTTATATTTCATTTCTTATTTTATTTTTTATTCATATTTTTATTATTTTTATTTGTATAATGTCGAAATTAGTTAACTTTATTTAGAAATTAGCAATTAAAGTGCGATATCGCGGCTAGAATGCTAGATTGCAATGAAGTTGTTACTAATCAATTTAACTGTATAAAAGAAGCTCAAATTCGACTTGCTTGTAAAATAACTTTGTCTTAAAGTTTTATAATAAAAGTTAACCTAGTAATAAGTTAATAAATTAGTTTCGACTAAATAAAACATTTTTCTTAAATCACTAAACCCAAAATTATTCACTAATAAAACTAATTCATTAGTAGCCAATTCATTCTGATCCACATAATCATAAATTTTACATTGTTATCATCAATTAACACACTCTCCCAAACAATAATTGGTGACATTAATATTGAAAAGACATCTGGTAATAATCACAAAAATTTGTCATGATAATTGTGTGTTTAATATATTTTAGAAGATGTAATATGTAAATTATTATTAGATTCATTTGGCATCATCTTCATATTTTATTATTATATTAATTATTTATTGTTATTATTATTATTTTTATATGGGGGTAGCTCTATATATCATTTAAGATAACAAATGGGATATTATAAAACTGATTACATTACAATTGTGATGATAATGACTAAGTTTGATTCCTGAAATTCTTGGTAATACCAATGTTCACTTTGTCTGGTTTTGTTGCAGTATGCCCCATATAGAAATGATTGTCTTGCATTTTTTGTTTTTATTATAATAACTAGAAGAGTATGAAATGAGTAGTAGGTATGCTAACTATAACATATGCACTAGATGAACAAATTCAAGATTGGAAGGGGAAAAGTGGCGAAATTGATCAAGAAATGATTTTAGATTGGTTAAATTCAAAGACAAGTAACTTGATTGTCAATAATAACAATAGCAGCAACAATTATGAAATCATCAACAACAACAATAATATAACTGTACCAAGTTCTCCTACTAGTTCAAGCTCTTCTACTAGTCCAAATTCTCCAACTAATCCTACTAGTCTACTACCATATAAAAAACATCCATCATATGTTGCTTCATCCACTGATAAAAATAAGCTAAATTCTGTACAATTTATTGATGATAACAATACAACAAATACAGCAAATTCACCAATAGCTAGTAGAAGTCCATCACGAACTAATACTCCTTTATCATATGTTGCTTCATTAACTGACAAAAATAAGAAGCCAAATTCTATACAATTTATTGATGATAACAATACAATGAATATAACAAATTCACCAATAGTTAGTAGAAGTTCATCACGACTTGATACTCCTTTGTCATATATTAGCTCATTAACTAATAAAAATAAGAGGCCAATATTATGCAATTTAATGATGGTAACAATACAACAAATACAACAAATTTACCAACAGTTAGTAATCCTAACGATAGCAACACTAATACAAATACAGTATATTCACCAGTTAGTACAATTCCTCCTCCAAATAATAATGACAATGATAATGATAATCTACCACCATCAATACCACTTCATACA